TGCAGCGGTTGGGACTGCGCAGTCGAGCGGAAGACTAGCAGGGTAGGGAGTTAGTGCGCGGCAGTCCGTCGCGCAGGAGACGTAGCACAGGTTCCGCGGAGTGTAGTGTAGCGTGGTTCCGTGCAGGCGTGTAGCGTAGTACAGTGTAGTGCTAGTTAGGACTTAGAAGGTATAAAATAGTTTCAGGCGTTTTGCCTGGGGTTCTTTCCCAAATTCAAAAGTGCAGATCAGGAATCCATTTCCTCTGCGTGTTTGTGTCCTTAAGTTCTGTCACCACGCAAGAGGAGTTACAACTTAGCGTTCCGCATTTTGTAGCTGAAGGTCTTCGGCCGAATGTTCAGAGCTAGTACATTTGTTAGAGACTTGAGTAGTTCGGATCTGCACCTGCGGGTGACTGCCGATGCTCAGAGCCAGTGACTAGTTAGATACTTGAATAGTTTCGTCCCTACATCTTCGAGTGTTTCTTTCTGATTGTACTCCTTCGGGATTTTTCCCCTGAATACCAAAGCGAAGTTTTGCTACTTCGTGTAAGCCTTGGTTGTAAATTCAGGTTACGCTGCAGCAGGTGCCTTTAGGGTAACCCCTGTAGTATTTCTGGGAATGACAAGTGCCTGAGAATTCAAACTCTTCAATAGACTGTTATTGTGTTACTGGAATGTTTCTCAGTGAGTCCTTCTGTGCGGACCTGTGTTCTCTGCGTGTTTAGTGAGTTGAGAGTGTTGTTCACCGCGTATGAGTGATTTCGATACGAAGTAGTTAGTCCAAACCGGGTTTCCTACGCTAGCAGCAAGCTAGTGGAAGTGTTGTAAAAGCCGGAGTTGGAAGTCACTACCCGCAGCTTCGCTGAGTGTACTCTTGAAAGACCTTCCCCCTGAAATCTTGAGTAGAGGTCCTAACGGATCTCTGGGTTGTGTTTCTGTAGTTTCAGGTGTGTGTGTGTGTGTGTGTTTTACGCTGCACTGTGCGACCTCCGAGTGCGCTCCGAGTGGACACTTGCAGTATTTCTGGGAGTGACAGTCGCCTAAGAATTCAAACTCCTCAATAGTCTGTTAAACGTGACACTTTGTACCCTGTGTGTTCCTCTGTCCCTGTGGGTTCGACCTTTCTACCACTATATTGCAGTTTTAGCCTTTAGTGGGTTATTACAGCCATGTTATTAATTTGGAGTCTATTGATCTGTAGTTGTTTTTGTTTATACAAGGTCAAGATAAATACAATTATATCGGAGTAACAATTTATTTCAATGTTATAACTAATCATATGTGTGAATGCACAATATTTACTTTGCTTGGTTGAATGAATTTCAATTTGAAATTTGCATAGATTGAAAATAACAAAGATTTTAGAATTTTGATATACATTACAATTTTACTCAATTCTACTTAAAATAAAAATTGAAATATACGTAGTGATATAATCTAGAATGTAAGAAAGTAGAAAATAAATCTTGTATATCATTAAGTATTATTTTATGAATCTTTTGATACGTCAAAACACTCAAGTGATAGTAAACACTTAAGACACAAATGTAATGTGGTTCATCATTTTGAAGTAGCTACGTCTATTGAGAACATGCAGCATTTTACTTCAGGTTTTTCACACAAGACGTCCATCATGTACATGCAGAAGTTGGGTATTTAACCTCAATCCAGTCGATCATTTTAGCTAAATATAACTAGTATTTGAGTTTATTTTCTAACTGGAATTAAACTCAACAATCTACCTCTTAACCCAAGTTAAGGAAATAGTAATCTCTATAAAATATATCATTTCTCAACGGTAAGTTCTTGAAAGAAACCTAACACAAGGTAAGCTCTTTACATGAGAGTTAACAACTACACCATAGCCAAAATAGTATAGAATAATAACATAAAAAGTTAAAAAAACGACCTCCTGATATAGAGGGAACAAAAACCTCGTTATCTATATAATTACTCTCCAGAAAAAAACCTAATACAAGGCCACTCCTTACACGAGAGTAAGCCGGAACCATCAGAGGATAGAGTAATTATATAAAGATATAACTGAAAATATTATGTTAACAAACTTTGCCGAGCCTCACATCACCATATGAAAAAACTGAGAGCAAAGAGTTGGTCTCGGAGATTAATAACGGTTGGCAAATATAGACAAGAAGACCGTGTGAGCCTAAACTCCCCACCCTTCAGCGTTTGTAGTCCAGGTGGGGGTTTGAGCTCCCATAATCTAACTTCTCTGATCTCAACCATGTGGTCAAAGTGTATTCAAGACAATGAGATCATAAACACTTGCTCTTTCACAGACAAATTATCCAGAACTGAAAATAATAACTTGCTGTCTGCTATCTCCACAAGAGCAGCAGACAAGCTCTTTGTTACATAAAGATCTAACCCAACTCTGGGTGACTTTCTCAATGCCACAGCCGCTGTGGTCTATCCTAGCTCCGAGTTCCACTCCCAATTCCTACTCAGATTTCAGTGTCAATTTCTCAGTTTCCACCTTCAGACCCCACCAGATTTCTCTCTCAGATTCAACTCTCCCTTTTCAGTTTCAAATTCAGATCCCGACTGTCAGATTTCAGTCTTAGATTTCGCTTCACTCACAGCTCCCATTCTCAGGTCTTTCACTCTGATCTCAGCTCCCACTCACAGATTACACTTCAATCTCGGATCCCACTCACAGATTACACTTCAATCTCAGATCCCAATCACAAATTTCACACTTCAATCTCAGATCCCACTCACAGGTTACACTTCAATCTCGGATCCCACTCACAGATTACACTTCAATCTCAGATCCCACTCACAAATTTTAAACTTCAATCTCAGATCCCACTCACAGGTTACACTTCAATCTCGGATCCCTATGGTAACACACTTTTTGTTTTTTTTATAGAATTTAAACAATTTTAGAAAACTAGTACCGAAGCAGTGTTTGTAGTTAGAAAAGGGTACGTTAAATAGAGTGGATTGATGAGATCGTCACGAGGTCACGAAGAATCGCGTAGTCGGATGTACCAACGCCAATGTCTTCGGCGCCTTCGGCAAAAGCTCCTTTTCTGAGGCGTCTCTACTCACGCGCTTCCAGCGTTTAAGGAAGCTACACTTCCGGCGCAGACACCTCAGGAGGAGGTTTTGCTAAAGACGTCAGAAGAAGGGCCCGGACCTCTGAAGGCGTCCGACCATGAGTGCGCCTTCGGCGAAAATTAATATATGAATAAAATAAATATAATATATATATATATTAATATAATATATATATATTAATATAATATATGAATATGAATAAAATTTGGAATATTTTAAATTTGAAGAAAAAGTATAACACAAGAATCAAAACATAATTATAATTATGGAATTGAATTTATTTGCATATGTATTCAATTTAACAAATTTTTGGTTATAAAGGAGTTGGTGGTAAGGAAGCACCAACACCACTTTGACATTTTATTTTTTTGACATTTTATTTATCAAAAAAATAAAATGTCAAAGTATTCTGAGTTTATGTTTTTGGCAGTTAAATTTTTAGATTATTGAAAATTGTGCATGAAGTGACAGTTTATATTTTTTAAATTCAATAAACCAGAAAAATTCAATAAAAGAATCTGACTGTGAAAAAATTACTTGGAAAAAATTAAATGCATGTTTTAACGAATGGACTTTATAATAAAAGAATAAAAAAATATCTAAAGCATGAGTTAAATTTTCCACACCAAATTTTTCTCAATTTTTTGCATTCCAGTGAATATACTGATAATCAATTGTTCTCTAAAAATTCTAGAGAGTAATAAATTTAAAAGAACTTAGCAGGCATATGAATCAATTACTATATACGTTTGGATAAGATATTGAACTTAAAATTTTAATTTATATATTTGAAAGTTTCTATGGAATCAAGATTTAAAAGAATTTTTATTATATTCATTACCTTGTTCAGTATCCTTAAATATACCTTTAAATCTTGAGTTACTTTCATTCAATTAATTACTTTAGATGTGAAGTAAGGTGATTTGAGGAGATTTTTTCTAAGCATTATATCCATCCTTTCAAGTCTGTAGCGTTTGGACATGTCGGAATGATTGATGTGATAGGGATCAAGATGACACTATCATCGTAATTTACATGTACCCATTCGTGTGCGAAATATGATAGACAAACAAGGTTTTTCTAATTGAGGGTATAAACAAACATCATTGAGATTGAGCGTAGTATATAAAAAATGGCTTCAACCATGCGTTAACTATAGTAGTGTTGAGTAACTAACCCTGATCTACATTTAACTAGAGTTCATAAACGACTACGAGTAAATCCAACTATTTAAGTTAATGATGGCTAAAAAGTGACATTAAGAAAAAAGAAATGGGCTATGAATAACAACCTCTATGCATGCCATCACAAGAAGATGTAAAACAAAGGAATCTTGATTGCCTTATGCGCATATGAATGATTTGTCAAATAGAAAAACTGAAGCCAGAAGATTATAATTTTGAAAAATGATGATATGATAGCATTGATTTTGAAAGAAGTCAAAAATTCTTCATGCGATGAAATACAGTCATAAATGAGATAAAGAAAGCAATTTGAAGACCTGCAATCACATCGACAACAAATTTGAGGATAATGTTCAAAAGGATATAAACTTTGATCCAAATATTAGATTTAAAAAAAAAAAAAAAGGAAAAAGAGAAATGTTTATTTGAATCGAAAACAAAAGCAAAATCTCAATCATAACAATTAATATGCAAATAAAACATGACAAAAGCTGTAGAGAATATATTGTCTCCAACATACTTGCATTTCTTTCTCTCGCTCTGAATGTAACAACATCATATTCCGGATTGTGATCTTATTAATCAACCCACCATGACATCAGATGTATACACTCCCTGTATATTAGCCACAACCAACACAGTGTACTGCCATTAACATTTAAAAAGCTTCTGAACTTTGTATTGATATCCTTCACCATTACACTGGATAAAAACTGCGGGCCCGCCTACATTCAGGTACACACGCGGTATTGAACGTCACCGTGTCATACTAAAGCAGTGGCAAAGCTGAAAAGTGTCAAGGGCAAAACACGACTTCATAATCGGAGCCAGTGGGACACGTGAACGTAGAGGTGGCATCGTCGAAGTTGTAGATGTAAGCTTGGGGACATGCTGCTTTGAACTGCATCGTGCCGGCTGTCGGTCCCAGCCCGGCAGTTCCATCGGTGTTGACTCGGGCACCAGTGGGTAGTGTTTGTATATCGTTGTTGGGCTGACAGAAAGAACTGTCATTCAAACGGGACTAAGGTCCATGGGTCAAAAACGATTTGATAGAATTCGTGATTGCAACCACGACCAGGTTGCTCTACGAGTGATGGAATTCAGCATGTTCTGACAATGTGAGATGGCTCAAAATATACGAGGTTACCTGATGTCGCTGATGGAACAGGTTATGGTGGTACAGCCCGTGGGCGCATTGATGGACATGGGAATGGTGTACGCATTCTGCATGGGGTTCGAGGGACCAGCAGTTATTATGATCAGTAGGTTGATGACCAACAACAGTATCTGATGTTGCAGCACAGAAATCTGCTCTACGTAGATCTGACTATCTGGCTCATATCGGCACCCCAAAACAAAGATCAAACAAATCATCCGCACTGATGAGAACAAGAGATGACTGCTGTCAAATCTTACAGCAGATGCAAATTTCGTTGCACTGATATAACTGAACTCATCGAGGAGAAATAAAAACTTTGACCGCAAATCCACCAGAAATATAAACTTTGACAGCAAATCCAACACCATCGTCCGGCCTATCGCAAAGGGAAGAAATATTCACAGCGTTATTCAAGTCGTAGAAGTCTTGATTGCCAGAGCCACCGATTGTGAACTCAGCTAAGTTGGCTAAGTTTCAATCCATAGCCGCGTAAGTAGTCCCTGTGACTGCACATTGTCCCGTCACGGAAGCATACACAACAGCAGATGGCCAGCTACAAGCCGTGCCCAGATCGATAGCTTGTGAGGTTCCGGCACTCAGATCGTACTGATCAATGTTCTGTTGCCCGGTTTGAGAACATGCTGTCACCATGTAGTTGCAGTTGTTACTGATCGTGATTACACAACCAGCATGGCCAATAATGAGTCCAGCAGTGAGTTTTCCTGGTCACGTCATTCGCAGCTCAGCTCCCTGATAGGAGCCGGAAGCATCTGCTGTGTGTCAAGTACTCGGACATTCTGACAAATTACAAACGTACACGAAGACCCGAAGGAAAAGAAAGAGGCTGATGTAGGCAGTCTCACCGTGGACGATTTCTCCGAATATTACAGAAAGGAAGAAGAACCGTAGTGCTAAGTGTCAAGTCACCATGCTGTTTATCTGTTTTTACGATATTGAGGCAAACCAGTCCCGAGAGATAGGACAAAGAACAGAGATCAGAGTCTGAGATGTTATTGCTGAAAGATATCTCAGCCAGAATGAGTAGATTGAATCGTTTTGACATCTCGAATTATTTGCCTTGAGATTTCGGTAACGTCCTCATTGAGATCTCAATGCATCGTCTATACATCAATTTGTGGGTTGCCCTTAGGCAGACACAGAGAGATATTAGCTCCTTTCGGTGCACTGTCAGACTCACAAGGGCATACCACATAATTTAAGAGTATTTGCACAGGCCTTATCTCGCTTGTTTTAAAACAATTGAAATCAGCGTTCAAGTTGCGCAGATTTTGTTCCCCAACATGCGTCACTGCAATAGATATACACATAGTCACATCAGGCAGAACAGTCAAATTCAGCATGGGTTGAAAGAGAAGCCATCGCTTGACCAAGGTTGATCGCTGGTCACCCGGATACTTCCTTCATCCTAACTCGCCCAGCAGGTGGATACGTTGTGCTACGTAGGAGATCATCGACGAAAGAGGTAAATTACTCAATGGTCCATGGAGGATGAGAAGATCCTATCAAGCCGATCAAGCTCTCATACATCCAATGATTGTTATAAAAATATTTCTAAGTCTGAGTTCTGTGGATCTGTCTTAACTCTAGTTCAGACAATGAAAGTCAAACGAAGATAGATCATGTCTTACGAAGATACGGACACAATGATATCATACTGACAACACACTCTGAATCTCTCATATTAGGCTGGATAAGGCATGAGCGAGTTCGCTTTCTGTGACAGAAGACCTTTATATCTAGTGAGGCTATGCAACTTTCGAACCAGTGATCTCCACCCATGCATAGAGATCAGTAAGTTTAGGACATACTGATCTGAAACATCAAAGACTGTCATGCAAAGTAAAGACAAGGTGTTGCAATTCTGGAAGATTGAAATGAATTTCAGAGCTTAACTCGCCATCCAACTGCAAATGCAAGGCAATACTAAGTCTCTATAATTTGTCTTCGAAGAAAACGTATTTAATGATCAGGGTTTGGAAGCTGGAAATCACTTCTGAAACGTTGTGTCGCTAGTCATGGTGCATACGCAAAGCTTTATTTTGATCTCTTTCGTCCTTAATGTGAACACTAATTTCCAGAGCCCTTCCATACACGAAATTACAAGTTACAGACATATTTCTTTCTGGTATGCATGCCCACCATGCTTTGGTCGGTTCCATAGAAGATGAGAGCTTCCATCTGAATCATTCGTTTCCGGAAATCAAAAGTCAGTGGGTTTCAAAATAGGAACGGTTGCTGAAGTGAAAGAATAGGTCGCATTCTCTGTCTAGAATGTTACCTCTAATCATAAGCACAGCCATCTGTGGTAACCCACTTTTTGTTTTTTTTGCAGAATTTAAACAATTTTAGAAAACTAGTACCAAAGCAGTGTTTGTAGCTAGAGAAGGGTACACTAAATAGAGTGGATTGATGAGATCGTCACGAGGGCACAAAGAATCACGTAGTCGTATGTACCAACGCCAACGTCTTCGGCGCCTTCGGCAAAAGCTCCTTTTTGAGGTGTCTCTACTCAAGCGCCTCTAGCGTATAAGGAAGCTACGCTTCCGGCGCAGACACCTCAGGAGGAGGTTTTGCTAAAGACGTCAGGAGAAGGGCCCGGACCTCTAAAGGCATCCGACCATGAGTGCGCCTTCGGCGAAGCGCCGCTAGCGCGGAAAGGGAAAACCTTCATAACAATCGGGATACACGGTAGATCCAGTTGGTTGAAGTTGCATTAGAAAGAGCTCGGGACGCTCGTTCTAACGAGTCCAAGAGCGCCGGAGATGGATCAGGAATGGAGAAGTTATGAGCGTCGGAAAACTCGTAGCCGGACATGCGCCGTTCGCGCTAGGGTTCACAGCCGGAAAGGATTCCCGTACGCCCTCGGCGATGCGCCTTCGGCGGAATCACGCGCTCACAGGAGGAAACCAACTCAGAGTCGGAAGCGCCCTTGGCGGCTGTTCATGGAAGGAAAGCGCCGGTCGGATGTACGCCTCCGACGTGGCGCTGACGGCCGGATGCGCTGGCATGAGTTGCGCTGACGGATATGCGCTGGCAGCAACGGACGAGGCATAAAGGACAAAATAGGCGGTACGACTGCGCGCCGGCGTAATTCGCTCCGGCTGGATGTGCGCCTCCAGCAAGGCGCCGACGGATAATGAACGCACCAGCGGCGACACGTCTCCGGAGAAGGGCGGGTTAGGAAAAGACAACAGGGCCGACGTATACCCTGCAGCGGACTCGAGTCCGGAAGGTGGCGGCGGCGGGAGAATTCAACGTTTAAGCATGCGAATGCGCGCAATGCGGAGACGTGAATTCGCGCATGCAAAGGGCGAACCGTTAAGCCGTATAGCCGGCTGCGTACGTTGCAACCAGTAAGAACGTTGGACGTTCTTGAAATCGGAGAAGAAAAGACTGCGCTCCAGTCTCATTCTCTCATTCTTGACTTTGCAATTTCCAGTTCCAAGATTACGCGCAAGGGCGGAGCAACCTGCAGTGAGAGTAGAGAGTGCGGAGACGAGTTGCACAAGGATCTTGGCGGACCTTGAAAGAATTGGGAGTAGCGATCTTGAACGAGCGCAGAGAGAGTGAGCAGTCAGTGCTTGAGTGGCCGACGCGCAGTGGCGATTGTGAGAGAGTGAGCGAAAGGGAGAACGTTTGTGTGTGCAGGCAACGCAATGTCGAAGGTTCCCCAACTGCGAGTGTCTCCACTCAGGGTGCCGCAGATCGGTCTACGCGCATTTCAAGATGTGCTGACGAGGCTGAAGCTCGATTTTCTCCTCTGGGGGTGGAATTGGACGTGTCCGGAGATGGTGCGCGAGTATCTGCAAGAGAGACACAAGCCTTCTCGCGGATTTTGCCCACACCCAGAGAGATGGGAAATTTGCAATTGGGCGCAGGTGTTGGGCAGGTGTGCCGGCGAGGAAGGGGATCTCCTCTTCGAGGCCGACAGCGTGAAAGTGTCCCAGGAGGAAGAAGTCTCTTACAATGAGCTCTTCAAGGTGGCTAGACATCCCAAGAACGGTTTCCGGACTCGGGATTACAAGGATCGATTGCGGAGAAATGTCGCGACAGCATTGCTGCAGATATTGCAGCCGACCAAGACCGCTTACATGCATGGTTGGCAGGTAGAGTTCGTGGAGCTAGTGTTGTCAGGAGCTCCGGTGCATTGGGCACGGCTCCTATGGAAGGTGACGCGCCAACATGCGCAAGAAGAGAGGGGAGGAACGCTCAATCATCTATCGCCATACTTAATCGTGTTTTACCGGGCGATGGGATGTTTGACGAATGCTGAGAAAACTCGGTTTCCGCAGCTGAGACGGTCTTATCCAGGTAGATATTCGAGGGAGGCCGAAGTAGACACGGATCCGGACGAGGAACCTGCCAGTACGCCTCCGGCTCCGGCTCCAGCCAGAGCAGCAGAAGAACGTCGAAGTGAGCGCATTCCGCGCAAGCGGAAGTGGGATGAGAGACCTGAGGACAGGCAGCCGGAAGTACCAGCTGCGCCGACTCGTGGTCGGCCCACCCCCGAGCCTCATAGTCGACCAAAACAGAGGGCACGCAGAATGCCAACTGTTACTGAGGAGACCAGGCGAACTCCGACCCGGCGGAATCTCACACAGGAAGAGATAATCGCTCAGGTCCTAGGGAAGACGGCAGAAACCTCTGCACAGAAGGCACCACGGCCTTCGGGAGGAGATGGACGGACTGACAGCCGGCCGACTGCGAGTCGGATGACTGAAGGTCGACAGACGGAAGGAAGGCCAACTGAACGGCGCGTTGAACCGGACAGCAGGCCGGAAGCGGAAGAGAGTTTGGCTGACGAGCCAACAATCCTCAGAGGGTCGTCTTCGGCGGAAGGCACTTCTAGAAGAACGCCACCAGCAAACAGGCCAAGTGGAGTCAAGACGCGCAGGGTGTATCCGACTCCCAGTCGGACAACTGCTGGGCGGCCGACTGCGAGTCGGACAACAGAGAGTCAGCCGGATTCGCCGACTGCGAGACGGATGGAGCCAACGACCAGTGTGCGGACGCCTTCGGCGGACGCACCTTCAGCAAGAACACCTTCCGCGCAGATTGCGCCGGAAGGACAGGCAGCAGAAGCGGGCGGTGCAAGAGTGACAAAAGTCACTACGGCGTCGACCCCTTCACAAACCGAAGATCGAGCCGGAACAGGGGCTCAAGCAGTGGGATCTCCCACTGCCCTGGATATTTTAGCAGGCAGTGGAGCAGCAGTCGCAGAAGAAGCTGCTGCGCGCCACAGTTCCAGGGAGTCGCCAAGGGATTCGGTGGCGACTGAGATCCTCGAGACTGAGGATGAGACGAGCTCGGAAGAGCAAGAAGAGGATTCGGTGCAGAAAACGCCAACAGGGGTGCTGTGCGAACAGATAGTTCCACTCCTGCGATATCTGGATCGCAAGACATCCAAATACGCAAGTGCCTTAAAACCGCAGTCTTATGTGGAGACAATCAGGCGAAGGACGAGGAGCAAGGTGGCAAGGTGGGCCTCTAGATGCGGAGTATATGTGGATAGGAACACCGCTCTCCGACAACACCTGGCGGTCACCCAGAAGCTGTACCAAGCCTTGCAGCAGCAGAAGGAGGATGCGGCGACGAAGAGTCAGGCGGAGGCCGAACTAATACGGGCAAAGATCGAGTCGGAACTGCAGGAGGAGCGGAGACAGAACAAAGTCCTAGCAGCCGAGCTTGCG